TTTTCTTACTGGTTTTAATGATGTAGTTCTTCTTCTTCCTCCTCCTCCTCCTGCTCATCCCCCTCCCCCCTCTTTCCTCCTCGTCATGCCCCCCGCCTCTTTCCTTCTCCTCCTCCTCCTCTTCTTTCTTCGTCCTATCTCACCTTCCCTGTCCCCCCCCGCCCCAGTGTCTCCCCCTTCCTCCGTCTCCACGTCCGACTCGTGCTGCCTCCCTCACCCTCCCCCTCCTCCTCCTCCTCCTCCTCCTCCTCCTCCTCCTCCCTCCTCCTCCTCCTCCTCCTCCTCGTCCTCCTCCTCCTCCTCCTCTTCATCCTCCTCCTCCTCCTCCTCCTCCTCCTCCTCCTCCTCCTCTTCCCCCTCCCTCCCTCCCTCCCTGCGAGACTGGGGGTGCCTGGCGGAGAGCGCCCAGGACAAATGCTTGACCTGGGCTGGGGTTCGTGGTCCGCTTAGCGCTGTCTGGCTTGCTCTGAACAGGAACGGATGGAAACTCAAGTCCCCGCTACACTGGCGCAGTGATATTGGCGATGTGCATGAGTTGCTGCAGGTTCCCCCCGCTGAGATGAACGGTTACGTCGAGGATGCGGTGAAGCGGTGGCAGGTACGGAGGCTGTCGTACCACCTGCCGGTGCAAGAAGCTACGCGCCAGGCCTCGGGCTTCGCGATCCGAGGCCGGCGCCTCCTGGTTCTATTCGTGGGCTGTGTGCCGACAAGTCTCCCGCGCCAGCCCGTCTCGCTGCTTGGGTGAAAACTGTGAACCCCAATCGTGCAGCGTCTGGCTCGGATGACGGATCCTATAGGCCTGCGTGGTGGGATTGTCCTGCTCTGTGGCAGCCCGACGAGAGCGAGTTTGAGGCTGAGTCCGACATTCTGTGTGCTCGCCACGCCTCGCACCGGGATGCTGTTCAAGCGATCGGCCACCGCCCCCCGCTGGATCCTGAATATGATATGTTGTATTTTACGCATGGGCCCCCCGAGCTTAGAGGGCCGCACGCGAACCCTACCCCTACCCCCCAAGACTTCTGAGGGGGAGGGCGGGGTTCACTTCGCTTGGGAGCTCCCGAGCGAAGTGAATCCCACCCTCCCCCTCAGAAGTCGTGGGGGGTAGGGGTAGGGTTCGCGTGCGGCCCCCTAGAGCTCTCCATGCAGCTTCCGTCCCCGCCTGGGGTCTCCGAGGTCTGAGATCGTCGTCGCCGTCGTCGTCGTCCGTCGTCCACCGTCGTCCGCAGTTGCCAACGTCGTCGTCGTCGTCGTCGTGGTCTTCGTCCTCGGCGGCGTCGCGCGGCAGGTCGGGCTTGTTGTTCCCCCCCCCCCCCCCCCGGCGCCCCCACGTGACAAGTACAGTGGAAAGATATGTTTTCCGCGCCGCGGCGGTGCCACGTGAAGAACATGATGGGATGGTGCGTTTGGCTCCCAGGCGCTGCCGCCCGGCAACTGGAACTGAACTGTATTGTGCTCGGCCCCCGGGGCGCTGCCACGGGACGAGCAGAATGGCATACCCTTGCTTCGCTCAACCAGGCGCTGCCGCGTGGCGAGTGGAGTGGGTTCGAATGTTTGGCTCGCCCTCCCCAGTTTTGTCACATGACGAGTAAATTGGAATCGTCGAATCGTCGAAGCGTTGCCATGTGACGTGCCAGTTTTTTCGTCTCCGCTGAGTTGTATTGAAGTTCCATTCGCGGAAAGTGGCTGGAGATCCCAACATGACGCGAACCATTCTAATTTGCTGCTCGTGACTCGTCTACTGGCCAGCTCCAAATGCTCCTCAAAAATTCGTTCAACCACCTCGGGGACACATCGCCTGAATCAGTCGGATGATTGGCTACAAACTCCAGGTCGCGGCTTTAGTTGGTGATCGTTCTGCCTTGGAACAAGTAGTGAAATATTCGGATGGAATGTATCCAAAAATTGATGGCGATGGCCCCTCGCGGCAACTTGTTGAAACATCCAACGGAACGCCTCAACATGAAAGGCCATTGCGCGCCCTGTTTCTGGTTGACCAAGGGGGCCGATCATTGACCACTTGTGCGCGATCGTTAATTCGGATCGAATGATCAGCTTTGTGTCCCACGCGACCACCTAACTCGTCTGCACCTAAACTTGTTTCCAGCAGCGGCAACCGATTGTCAAGGCACCTGCATCCGCACGGACATCGTCGCGCCAATTCGCTCACGAGAATAACACGAGGAGACTTCAATGATATCCTGGTGTGTCAAAGTATGCAGCACATGAACAAGAATCACAACACGGACATACCTCGCCGCATGGCTCGCATTCGCAATCTTCCTGTGCCACTTCCAAATCCTACAACACCGGTGCCCAGATTGTCAACCGTGTGAACTGTGACCGTCTGCGCGCAATGAGCTGCTGCTCCTTCCACAATGCGCATGCCAATATCTTCTCTGTCCTACAGCTCTGGCTTTCGCTGCGACCGGCAAGCTCGTCCACCTCCTTCTCCCCCATCTCCTCTCCATCCTCAATACCTTCCAGCAGTGCCAGCGTTGGAGCGACGAAGAAGAGGGACGACCGCTGGCTATTGGCCCAGGGTCGCCGGCGCTTCCGCGGAGCTGTCGGGGGGGGGCGTCCTCGAGCGCGGCAGCGAGCGCCGTCCTCCAGGCCCTGCTGGCTATCCGCCCGTGGCTCCCAGCGCGCGGATGTACGGGCAGGTCTCCTCCGCTCCGTGGAGCAGGCTGGACCTTCAGCCGAAATGGCTACGGACGGTCCGCACGGATTTCTTGAATCCGTCCGCGCTGGACCTCCCTGGCGGCGCCTAATGTTCCGTCTCCGCTGCGCTGCATTGAAGTTGTATTGCATTGCACTGCGTTGGATTACATTGGGATCGAATTGCGTTTGCACTGCATTGCAGCGCAACGTCTTGCGCTGCATTCGCAATCGCGCGAGATCCCGTTGGCAGGCCAGCCGAATACGAGTTGACAGTGCCAGGGCGGCCAACCAACCAACCGATCAACGAACAAACCAGCCGACCTACAAACCAGCCGGCCAACCAACTGGCCAGCCGGCCAGCCATCCAGCCAGCCAGCCAGGCCACACTCTGGGACGTGTTTGAGGATGTCTCGCACGGCGGGCCCTGGAATATTTGTTCGAAACTGCACATTTCGAAGCCCCAGGCTACAAGATTTCTTAGCCCCGAGAAATCTTGATCCCTTCTCCTTGGAGGATGGTTGCCGCGTGCGAAGCCCTTTTTCCTCCCCCACCTCCTTCCTCGTCCTGCCTCCCCCCTCCTCCTCCTGCTCCTTCTCCTCATCCTCCTTCCCCTCCTCCTCCTCCTCCTCCTCCTCCTCCTCCTCCTCCTCCAACTCCCCCGTGCCCGCAGTCAGCCAGCACCCGCTTCTCCTGATATCAACCAACCCACCTCCCTCCCTACATCCTTGCCTCCCTCCCTCAAGTCTCTCTCTCTCTCTCCTTCTTTCTCTCTCTCTCTTCCTCTCTCTCTTCCTCTCTCTCGCTCTCTCTCTCCCTCTTTTGTTTTCCCAACCATCCTGTGGTGTTGGGTCCTCGTTTGAAGAAACAGCGCCCCGCGTTCCCACTCCTCCTCCTCCTCCCCCTCCTCCCTCCTCCCATCCCTTCCTCTGCTTTCTCGCATGCCAATTTCGGCGCACCTATCAGACGCTTCGAGGCCCCATAGGGAGCTCCACCGAAGGCCCCAGTGGCAGGGTCCGCATGCAGTTTCACCTCCATTTCGACGCAACCCTCACACGTTTCGTGGCCCCATATGGTGCTCTACCGAAGGCCCCAGTGGCAGGGTTCGCATGCAGTTCCACCTCCATTTCGGCGCACCCCTCACACGTTTCGTGGCCCCATAGAGTGCTCCACCGAAGGCCCAACTGGCAGGGTCAGCATACATTTCCACCTCGGTTTCGGCGCACCCTGACACGTTTCGTGGTCCCATAGAGTGCTCCGCCGAAGGCCCAAGTGGCAAGGTCCGCATACAGTTCAACCTCCATGTCGGCGCACCCCTCACACGTTTCGTTGCCCCATCGTGTGCTCCGCTGAAGGCCCCAGTGGCAGGGTCCGCATGCAGTTCCACCTCCATGTCGTCGCAACCCTCACACGCTTCGTGGCCCAATAGGGTGCTCCACCGAAGGCCCCAGTGGCAGGGTCCGCATGCAGTTCCACCTCCATTTCGGCGCACCCTTCGCCTGAGGCCACAGTGGCAGGGTCCGCAAGCATTTTCACATCCAGTTCGGCGCACCCCTTAGACGTTTCGTGGCCCCATAGGGTGTTCCACCGACGGCCCCAGTGGTAGGGTCTGCATGCAGTTCCAAACCCGTTTCGGTGCACACCTCACACGTTTAATGGCCATAGTCTGTCCACCGAAGGCCCCAGTGGCAGGGTCCTCGTGCAATTCCACCTCAATTTCGGCGCACCCCTCGCACGTTTCGTGGCCCCATAAGGTGGTCCGCCGAAGGCTCCAGTGGCAGGGTCCACATGCAACTCCACCTCGACTTCGGCGCACCCCTGACACGTTTCGTGGTCCCATAGGGTGCTCCACCGACGGCCCCAGTGGCAGCGCCCGCATGCAGTTCCACCTCGACTTCGGCGCACAGCTCAAACGCTTTGTGGCCCCATGGTGAGCTCCGCCTACGGCCCCTGTGGCAGCGCCTGCACGCGGCTCCAACTTGCATTTCGGCGCACCCTTCACACGTTCCGTGGCCTCACATGGGGCTCCACCGACGGCTCCGGGGGCAGCGTCTGCATGGCGTACCCGTGCCAATCTTGGCACACCCGTCACACGCGTCGTGGCCACAGAGAAGTTCACCGAGGATGATACCCACAACTGCGTTACTCACAACTGCACATCGTTGGGTCCTTCGCCAAGATAATGTGTCTCTCTCTCTCTCTCTCTCTCTCTCTCTCTCTTATCTATTCATACCCTCTCCTCTCTCCTCCTCCCTCCTCCTCCTCCTCTCCCCTACCCCTCTCCACTATCCGACGACGACGACGAAGGCGAAAGCGACGGCGACGACGACGTCCGAGCCGGGCGCGTGAAGGCGCGCGATGAGTGCGATCTCGTGCTCCTCCAGC